CAAATGCCGATGCCAGGTTCCAAAAACCTGATTTCGATCAACTCTGAAAATACCAAAACTCGTATCCACGCCCGATACACATGACTTGAGCTAAAATTGAGACTTACGACACCCAAGAGCTAGGAAAACCATCAAAAACCGACTTCAACACGCATCAAATGCGTGTTGAAATACGAACTTATCAGATTCCCCCACACTTAAGCTTTTGCTTGTCCTCAAGCAAACTGAACAACGAGACTTACATAATCACCACCCGGAATTAAAACAGTTAGCATGCACACGTAGTTAAAGGGATATTCACATAACAGAAAGTTTAAATCAAGAAAATTCTTCCCTAAACTACATCTTTGTACTCAAGCTAATAGTTTTGACCAAAACTATTCACAACATCCTCAAAATAGTGACAACAAGCACTAATAAATTAGCCACCGATCAGAAGGACTTGTGAAGGCGGTGGTGGACGGTGAATGGATAAACAATAACAGTCCCTTTTCTTGAGAGATTGGAACATTCTAACAAAAACTTAATGCATTCAGAAATTTCGGGGCTATTCTAAGGATCAAAGAGCTTAGTAGGCCACAATTTAGGAAAAATCATTTAAACCTATGCAAAGAGTAGACATGGTGTACAACTAAGCTAAACCGTCGCGACACATTTGTGCTTTGACGTATACTTGAAGTACGCAGAGGACTAAAGCTAATTTTTCGATAGCCTCCAAGTTCATTAATTATGTTTAGTTTTCCTTGTCATGTTGGCACGAGAACGCTATTTCTTTCGAAAGATACCCAAGTCTCATTTTACGCTTTTTGATCGGGGCTCCCATTCTCTTTTTCGCAAGGTAAGAGGTCTAGCTATATTAATTTTTCACCTTTCGGATTCTCACAAGACATTACCCCATTCTAATCTCGGCCTCACCAAGGAAAATAGCAATTAAAGTTCATTAATTCAATCGTGAATCCATGCCTACAATGCAATCCTCGAAAGTATCAAATTCCTAAGAAGTGACTGCTCTTACCCTATTTGGGGCATAGGAACAGTGGCAAAAATGGCTTCTATAAAAATTCCCTAAACTTAGCAAATTAATCCCCTAGTTCCCTAAACACCAAGACTAAATCAGAAATATTCACGGGTTAAGAAAACACAGGCCATTTGGCTATGAAGCTCAATTAATTGGGTAAGCAAAGAACGGTCAGGCTCAAAATGGCTTCTCCTAAGGGAATTATTTAGGTGAGGTGGATGTTTTATGAATTTTTTTTTCATGGGTGACTAATGCCTTCATCCTCTCAGTAACTAGAATATAGTGCAAGCACTTTAAGTCTAAACACTTCAAAAATGTTCTAAAAGCATAGTCAAAACGCTAGCCAGCTCACAAAGACACAGTTTAAAGAAAAAAATTCGAAAATTTTGACATGACTTTCCTATGAATATACAACTAACACCTGCGCATGCTAACTCTAATAATTACATATAATAACTAATGCCCGAATGCCCAATTCACTCCCCTACACTTAAACTTTGGCATAACCCTCGATGACCAAAAATGCACTATGCTCAAGGGGGTAAAGAGGAAAGGGTCACGCGTGCTCAAAATCAACTCAAGTTAACATAAAGCAAGCGAAAAAGTACGAGTAAGAACGTAGAAACTCCCCTAGGTCTTTGGTCGACCTTGCACTCAATCAATCCTTCATTCCAAACAGCTAAGCAACGATCATTTAACAGTAAAGGCTGCAACCACAACAAAGCAGAAAGGAAAACATCCACAACAGAAAAGAGTAATAGAACATCCTCCATGAAAAACTGCGTGAAAAACTGCCGCTCATCTGCGTGAAAAACTGCAGCTGATGCTGATAAATCCGGGTATAGACATCCTCCATGTGCTGATGCATCCCCTCCCAAGTGTTGGGAAATACATGTCCCTGGGGAGGGGGTACAACGGGGGGCCCGTGCATCATCTCATGCTCCATCTCCTGCGCGTCATTCTGCTCAACCTGCTCTGCCTCATGGTGGTCCGCAGCGCCACCCTCACCTCCTTCGTGCTCAGCTGCTCGGCGTGCCATTGGGATCTCCTTAGGAAGCGTCTCCATCGGGTGTATATGCTCACAGACTGTATACATTGCGCAGTTAAAAGCGCAGTTATCTTGAAGAATGCATTTGAATGTCTTCCCGATTGAATTGTTAGCTGAAATTTGGTAAGAGTAAACTAGACTTAATGAAAAAGATGCTCGAAAAATTTCATCAAGAAATTATACCGAGAACCGCTCCAAATGGAGACGGCCGGACAGAGCCTCCTATATAAGGGCGTATTTGACCTTTTTTGTTAGTATTGGGCTTTTTTGCCCTTTTTCCCTAAAATTTATAAATTTTATACTTTTATGAAAATATTTTGGATAAAGAACATTTTGAAATAATTTTCATATTCGAAATAATTTCATATTAAAAATATCACTGGTCAAAATTGATTGTGATTGACCAAGAAAAGACGATTTGGTGAACATTTTTGGGACGGAGAGAGTATTTTTTTTAGTCTAAGCTTGGATCGGTGAGAAAGAAATTTGATTGGAGACATAATTTTGAGTTTTGATATTTCAATTAGACACTATATGGTCTTCGGATTTAAAAAAATTATATATATAATTGGTGTCAAACGACAGATTTTTGAATTTTAATATTTCAGTTGGACACCATATGACCTTCAAATTTTAAAATAAATTAGAGAAAAAGGGCAGATAAGCCAACATACTAACAAAAAAGGTCAAATAAGCCCTTATATAGGAGGCTCTGTCCGGCCGTCGCCATTTGGGGCGGCTCCCGATTGAATTTTTTGATGAAATTTTTTGAGCATCTTATTCATTAAGTCTAATTTAATTTATATACCTGGGAAGGCAGGTGGTGGTGCTATCTTGCGCAACCTGGAAGGCGATCTGGTAGCAGCTGTGTCTTTTCAAGTGTTCGCCTCTTCAAGTTTTGAAGCTGAGTTATACTCCATCGTCTTCGCCTCTCGTTGGATGATTGAAGCCGGTTACTCGAACTTCCAGGTGGAATCAGATGCGTTTCAGGCTGTGAAGTTTCTGGCTCAGGAAGGTCAAGGTCGATGGAAATGTTGGGTTCAGGAGATGAAACTGATGCAAATTAGGAAAGGTATCTCGATTATTCAGACATGGAGAGAAGCTAATTGGACTGCCCATTATCTGGCTTCTTCTTCCTTGGGCTTTATTCAGACTTTTTATAGGCCCAAAGATCTGCCCACTCAGGCCCGTCAGGCATATTATGGTGACTTATTTGGGATCCCTTCTTTTAGGTATGTTTAATTGTTTTATTGGGTAAGGTTTGGTCCCCCCCAATTTTTATTTTATTGAGTTGATCTTTAATTTTTTTATGTATTCATTTAAAGAGGTTTTGGCCTAGTCCCCCTCTTTTTGTACCTTCTACTATTTCAATAAAATCTGGTAAATGCTGCCTGACATTTACCCCACTGATTTTGGTGGTTGACCTTCCGGGCTAAAAAAAAGTCTAATTTAATCATATCAAATTTCAGCTAAAACTTCAATTGGGAAGACATTCAAATGAGATACAAAATTCATATATAAATGCATAACTTTCGCATCATACCTATTTTAGGAGATATAAAATTTCGAATTCTTCATACTCCGTAACACATCATATGGCCTTCAAATTTTTTATGAAAATTATATATGTATTATTGGTGTCATATGAAAGGCAATAAAAAATTACAAATTTTTATATATGTTTTGTAAAAATGGGATCAAAAATGAAAAAATTATAATCATTTAAAAAATAAAGAGGTTTTTTATTAAAATGGGTCCCACCAAAGTGTCTTCCCATTGGCTACCTTGCTTACCAACATATGCAGTTACGGAGATTGTTTTTGTTTTAAAGAAAGTCGTCGTTTCGTTTGGCGGCTTTCTCTAACCATAGTTCCAACCAGCAGTATTTTGGTAATAAGTTTTAACTCAACCCTAAATTGGTAAATAATTTATTGTTTAGCATTATTTTAGAAACAAACTCGTTTTTTGTCAATTGCCAATTTATTGATAATATTAATGTAAAAACCCCTAAATGAATATCCAACTACTTAGAGTTTTTTAACAAATTCGCTACACTACATTATGAGGATATAAACAATTTACCTCTCAATTAGTAGCTAATTGAATTTTGAACTTTGTACAAGTCAAAGTAACAAACAAATTACAACACTACCACCGATTAAATTTTACAATAATGGTTGATGTACCCACTTTTATACCCACCTTATACCCACCATGTTTGTGAATGTTTTTTTATCTGTGAACGCCGGTTTGCAGACAATATTTTGCACAGACAAAATATTGTCTGTGAACCGGGGTTCACAGACAAAAAAAAAACCTTTACAAACATAGGTGTTTACAAAAATGGGTATAAAAGTGAATACAAAGATCATTTTTGTAAATTTTATATGACAAAATTATAATTGTGCAACGTTATACTCCGTACAAACAAACAAATTTAGTGTGGACCGGTCCGGTCAAACCATTATTGATTTTGTATTCTTAACAAAAATAAGTACTCGATAGTCCATATAATACTAATAGGAATAAGGTAGATTCTATGGTACTCATAAGGTACCATACTTTTGTCCACATAGACCAATGAGAATATAACAGTTGAATTATTTAAATCTAAATTAAAAATGATAAAGTGGTATGGTCCAATCAAATGAATGGTAGGTACGGTACCCTATTTTTTAGAAGGGTACCGAAACTGTCATCTAAGAATAATAGTATAGTGGATAATTGATATAGGATTAAAACATGATTAATGGTAGAGTATATATTGAAGGAGGTGGCAGATTATTTTTTTTTTTTTTTTTTTTTTTTTGGAAAAACATGATTTTATTCATAACAAAAGAGTACAATGCAAGAAGCCAAAAAAAGTAAAAAGTACCTAAAAGAAAATACAGCGTAAAAAAAAAAAAAAAAAAAAAAAAAAAAAAAAAAAAACTAGACCCAAGGGAAATCTCTGGATTGCGATCTAGTTCTCATGCTATGTCGCCTTTTGTTTTGCTGAGATTTCCTGTAAAGTTTTAGTTGCGTGTTCAGGTTGTCTGTTGGCAGACAGTTTTCATAGGTGACGAGCTTTGATTTACGACAAATTGTTCTGTTGAATTTGGAGTTCTTAATTTCCTCCCGGTTTGATATAGGAGGGCGACAATCACTTTCGGTTGCATGTCCTAGAAAATCGTCTGAAAAGTAAGAGTCATCAGAATGATCAAAGTTGTCCGAGGCATCAGAGTACGCCTGAATAAGTGGAATTTGTGGCTGTTTCTCAAAAGAGAGGGGGTCTTGCTTCTCGCCATAAGCTTTCTGAACTTCATAGTTGAATATTAATTTGGAAATAGTTATATCCTCAGTAGGCGTAGATTCATGCTCCAAATGCGTGAGAGCCTCCTGCTCTATATAAGATAATCCAACAAAGTTGGAAAATAATCTCAAAAAGTCATTGAGATATGAATTGTGTGGGCCTATGGGGACTAGAATTGAGCTCCCCCTTTCTTTTGCAATCCTAACATAACAACCTGAATCGTTGAGCTCCGATGAGACCGTGATAGGTCCGAATTTTCTGCTCTCTCCGCGATAAAAATTTTCCGAGCTTGTGAGTTGGTGGATAAAACTATAGATCTCAGGTGCAAGCTCTAATTTGAAATCAATCCTCTGTAGTGTGGATTTTTTAATTTCAAAAATAACCATATCATTTTTCCTGGCAGCTAATCTAAAGATCTTTGATCCAATCTTGATAGAATCAAAACCTTCTTCTCCATAGAACATAAATTTATCTACCTTGGGTAAATCATCTCTTGAGGCCGAAACTCTTTCAGTCGGGTCCGTAAGTGCTAAGGATTTGGTTGACTTTTCTTTTAGTGTAGTATCCCTTAGACTTGAGAGTGGAAGTACGGTGTCACTTTGTTTGTACGTATGGGACCTTACCACATCTGCCCATGTGAAGGGTTGGAGGGATCCTGGACCTTGTGTCTCCACGCTGTACAGAGTGCCGCAGGTGGGTATGTCGGCTGCAGGGCCTGGCGCGGAGGTGGATGGGTCATCTGTCGTGGTAATCTCCAGTCTGCATCCGCCGTCGTGTACTGGTAATCCATAGCTCCGACGCCGACGCTGATAGGCACGGGTTCTTGCGAGTCCTATCGCCTTTTTGTTTTGATTCTTTTTAATCCTCTGGCTGATGTTGAAATCGGACAAGTTATCTGAATGAATTTCAGATTCGAAGAGTTGGGGTGGGATTAATTCGTCGTCTTCAAATCTCAGACGAGAGAACCGGTTGTTTTCTGGGTAAAGGCTCTGAGACGCCTTGAATCGTTGGTTGGGAAGAAGTGCGCTGCGCCGTCCCTTGTAGCTGACCGTGCGCCATCCTTCATCTGTTTCCCCAGATTGTGTTTGGTAGATCGGCGTTGTCTGTCGATGCTGATGGTGTCGTCGCTGTAATCGGCTTGGCCCTGTTGTGAGGACAAATCTTGATTTATATTCTGTTTTATATTGGGCTGGAGGTCTGAAATGGTGATGGGAGTAATCTCTGAGGCAGTGAGAAGGAGACCGATTCCTGCTATTTGGATTAAATCTGGCTATACGCAAGTTTTGAGGAATCAGATTTGGTTGAGCGTAATCCTTTAGGCGGTTAGCAGGAGACGGATTAGGATCGAATATGGCTCTACGCCCGTTTTGGGGTCTGAAATGGTGTTGAGTAATTGAATTTGGTTGGAAGCGAGTACCTGCTCTAGATGAGGTTGTTCCGTTCAACGTGAACTGTTGTGTATTGGCTTGGGCTGGGGTTGCGTATACCGTTGAGGGAGTTGATTTTCTTCGTTGTTCCCGTCGTAGAAGTCGGTCTCTGGAGTGTAGTAAAATTCTTCATTGAGAAGGACAGGATTATTCCGGCGTGGTGTGCAGTGCCGGAATTCCATTAGTGAACTCAAGAAGACGGTGGATTTTTAGAGAGAAGGAACACCATGTTTTGCCTTCCACTAAATCTCTGTCATAGTTTTAAGGAGGTGGCATTAAAGCTATGTTCGGCAGACATAAGTTACTGGCTTCTAGCTTTTGTACTATCTTTTGTACTAAGATTAAGGTTATGGTTGGCATGACAATTTTTAAGAACTTTTCAAAAGATAAAAATATCTTTTTTGAGATGCTACAGGGAGTAACATTTGAGAAAACTTTGTAACTTTTAGCATTAATTAATCCCAACAGCTTGTATATCAAAGAGAACTAAACCAAACAGTCAGCTTTTTACCAAACAGCTACCACCTTTTATTTTTAAGATCTTTTCAGTCACTAAAAGTTAACAGTTACTAAAAAGTTCACAAAAAGATCTTTTCAGCTAATTGTGCCAAACATAGCCTAAGAATGTTTTAATTCGAGCTTATTTATTTAAGTCTCAGACCAAATCAGATCAGATCAAACTAAATTTAAAAAAATCAGATCAGAAATATCAGATCAAAACAAATCAAACTTAAACAAATCATACCAAACAAGATCAAATCAGACTATAACAAACCAAATCAGGCCATATTTTAAAAGTTGTAAAATACAGAGAAACCAAAGATCTACCAGACCAGACTAGAATATTTTATAATCTATCTATAGATAATACATTTGAAGGTTACAATTACGAAAAATATTGCTACCTGTCAATTCCACAATTATTGTTTTAAAATCATTTTGCAAATTAAAGGAAAGCTATGCACAAGTATGATACCGTATTTCATATGGGATTTGTAGTAATGTTATGTACAACTCCTATTATTTAGGATTCCATAAATAAAAACTTCATTTTTTTTAAACTGTTATAACTTTTTCATTTGTACTTTAATAGTAATAAAAATTATATCTATAGATAATACATTTGAAGGTTACAATTAGGAAAAATATTGCCTCATGTCAATTCCACAATTATTGTTTTAAAATTATTTTGCAAATTAAAGGAAAGCTATGCACAAGTATGATACCGTATTTCATATGGGATTTGTAGTAATGTTATGTACTAACTCCTATGGAGTATTATTTAGGACTCCATAAATAAAAACTTCATGTTTTTTTAAACTGTTATAACTTTTTCATTTGTATTTTAATAGTAATAAAAATTATATCAAAATTCATAATTTTTTATTATCTTTCAAATGACACCAATATTGAATGTACAAAAATAAAAAATAATTGAACACTTTCAAAACCTCTATTTATAAAAAATTATATAACTTTTTTATTTGTACTCTGATTGTTACAAAAATCATATCAAAAATCATAACTTTTTATTATCTTTCACATGATATCAATATTAAATATATAAAGATAAAAAACTATTTTAATACTTTAAGAAAAGTGAGTTTATATAGTTGATATTGAATTGATAGAGTAAGAATAAAGTAAAAATGAATTAGAGTGACACAAACTTTATCCAATTTGGTATGAGACCATTTTAGTAGGATTTCTCGAAAAGGAAAATTGAGACAATCTTAACGAAACGGATGGAATATAACTTTTTTAATTGTACCCCGATGGTTACAAAAAATACATCATATTTCATATCTTTTTATTATCTTTTATATGTCATTAATGTTGTACATATTAAAAAAAATAGTTCTATTAATTTGTGCAATTAGGATCGTTTTTGTCGTAAATACTATTAATTTGAATATCCCAAACTTTGAAGGTGTGTGAGGTTAGTACCTCAAACTTGCACATGTAATATACACACCCTCATCTTTATATAAAAAGTTACGATGCCATTATGATCATATAATTTTTTACAAATGTAATTTTATAGTGTTAACTACATAATTTAAAATACACATAGCACTTATGAAGATGCAATTAAAATTATATTGAACCAGATGTGATATATTTTATTTCACAAATTAATTTTTAGATCATTAACTGCATCTAAAAAAACTTAGAGTATTTAAAATTATGCACTTATTGAAATAAATTTATTTTTTTAAAGACCATATAGTCATGTTGAAAAAATAAAATATAAATATATAGAAATTGGGTTATATATCGCATATGCAAATTTCAGGTATTTTCTCACACACATTTAAGGCTTGAGATAATTATTATTTTCCCCTTAATCTAGAGTGATAACTTATAATAAAATTGCAACGAACTCCATAACATTTATTTATTATTTTAATTAGACTGGTATCGGGCTTATATTGGAACAAAACAGATCAAACCATATTAGATCAAACCAGGTCATAATTCGACAATTGCAAAGACACATAGAACAAATATGAGATATTACCCCAAAATAGGACTAAAAAAGTTTGAAAATTCCAAAATAGGACTTCCATATTTTTATTCCCAAAATAGGACTAATTACTATCATGTTTTGGATGTACCATACTTGAAACATGTCAGTATTTTCCAAATTTGGCAGTAATTAGTCCTATTTTGGGAATAAAAACATGACAGTCCTGTTTTGGAATTTTCAAACTTTTTTAGTCCTATTTCGGGAACTTTCCCAACAAACATGTATCAGATCAGTCTTAAACAAATCAGACCAAACCAAGCCAGACTGACCGGACCCGAAGATTTCAATCGAATTGACATGTGAAAACACATTTTCGCTCGAACATAGATAAACACAATTGTACATATAGAATTTTTGGACTACTACTTATAGAAATTTTACTCAAAGACAAACTAACACAATTTCACAACTCTTCTTATAAACAATTTCTCAAATCCAAAGTTACACCTATCTCATTATTTCTTATGATGAGTTCTTCTTCCCATTTTTCAAACTCATCTGCCCATGGCATCTTCGCAAAATCTCTTTCGTATATTAACACCCGTAAATGAGAACCACACAACTATTGTTAAAATCATTACTCTATGATTTTTCACTGCTAAATTACTTTATAATCATGTTTTGATAAAAGAATCAAAATCATATGATTCACCGAGAGCCTAAATAGTCCAAACACTAACTGTGGTATATAACAAATCTCTATTTAATACTTCTTTAGTGCCTCTCTTTATCCAATAAATTTCATGCATACCTTTCTTGGTAACTGATAAGTTAAATATATTTAAATATGATACAACAAAAGTTAGAGTATTTTACCAAATAGATATAGTTCATCTGAAGCTGCTCAATCCAGATTAGAATCAAAACTTCTAAATTGAAATAAGGGTTAAACTCGATTAGTTAAATTCAGAATCGAACGTTAAATTAAAATGATTATACTAAATCTAAATAACGTTTATATAATTGGGATTTCAACCATTATAAGTTTTTTTTACAAAGGATGACCAATACTCCTTATTCTTTCAATAATTATTTCATTGAAATCTTCTTCTCCCTAGATGTATCCTTCCACCTCTTTTTTAGAATATTTAGAATGTTTTAAATTGGAATAGTTTCATTCTCAGGTCAGGTCAGACCAGAACATAATAGATCAAGTCATCAAACCACGTTAGACTTTGACAGTTGTAAAATACGTATAGAACAAATTAAATATTACCATAGTAGACCCGTTCAGATCAAATCATAACATACTAGACTTAAACAGATCACATCAAAAAATTACAAATGAATTAAAATTACCCTTACACGAGATGTACATGAGAAAACACAAATTATGAAATTAACACAATTTTACCAGACTTATACGCAATTAATAATCGATTGTAATTATTAATCTTCATATTTACTACCAATCTATTATCTTCTTATTCCCTACTAATTTAAAAAGTACTTTTAATTATGAGCTCATTTGGAATTAATAAATAATCTGTAGTATTTAACGTACACCAAGTTAATAATTATTTAATCTTTTTTTGCAATGTATATTTTCTAATGAAAACATCATTTTTAACTAATTATCTAAACATTTTCCGTCTATATTTCCTAATGAAAAACGTTTTTTTATAGCTCTCAATTGCATTCAAATGAAATAAATCTTTTCAACTATCTTTACCTAAACAAAAAAAAAATGCTCAATGCTTATTTTTATCCATCAAATTTATAGTTTTTATTGTGAAAAGTAAATACACACTTTTGTAATTCTTTTATCTAAAATGGGTATAGTCAAGAAAATGCTGAATACCTATTTTTATCCATTAAATTTCATCCGTGGCTTATTGTTTTTTTCAAAACTAACTACAAACTTTTGTAGTTTATTTATCTAAAAATGGGTGTACTCAACTTTTTTGAAGATATTATTCTTTATTTTTCTTAACCGGTAATTCAAGTATATTTTGAGAAATAGTTTTGATGAGTATATACTATAATAAGGCCATTGAATATAACTGTGGTGTTAAAGATGTATTATTTTTAATATTTGATGATCAAATTATCATTAAAAAGTGACAATCATTTCCTAAAATAAAAATGAGAACCAAGGATTAAAAAAATGAAATTGAAAGCCTTTAGTTGAGGCGGAGGGAGACCTTTAGTTGAGGCGGAGGGAGTAGTAGCTTTCAAAGTCTAATAATAAACTTACGTCTACTAATAATATTATTGCATTCAATTGCCAATTTAGGCTGGTGTAACGACACTTTATTGCCTTAAAATGAAAATGTTGGGGATTTGGTAAAGGTTGGTGTAATATACTATTTTAAGCACGTCATTTTTGGCTGTCCTAAAATTTTGTTAATTTCATTTTAATCAATTAATTTATGATTCCTATTATTTCTTTCTCCTCTTCACAAATCTCAATTACACAGTTTTACATAATTATTCCCCATGTCGGGCAACTTGGCAAATTTTTAAAGTACGGAGAGAGTAATTTTTAAAGACTTCGAATCTATTAAAGTCATTAACTTCAGTTGTTATTTTAGCACAAGTAACATTCGAGTACTGTTTGAAATACCCCTTATTGTTTAAGCAAAATATTGATAAGCTAAAACTAATTAAAAAGGAATTTGTATAAAGAAAGGGCTTCGAACAAGAATAGAGAAGGAGATGACAAGAGAGTGAACAAGAAGGAAAACTTGAGTATTATTCGAATGTTTCAGCTCCCTTGATTACAATGAGGCTATTCTATTTATAGGAAAAGCAATTAAA